AATCGGCCAAAATAACCATGAGCGGCTACGATATTATAAGTTTCTTCCTCTTGACCAAATCTGTAACCTTCATTAGCGGATTCATTTTCTGTGGTTTCCCTGATCAAACTAGAGGTTACCAAAGAACCATGCATAGCACTGAATAGGGAGCCGCCGAATATGCAACAGCAATCCAAGGACGCATACCCAGACGGAAACTAAGTTCCCACTCACGCCCCATGTAACAAGCTACACCAAGTAAGAAGTGTAGAACAATTAGCTCATAAGGACCGCCGTTGTATAACCATTCATCAACGGATGCCGCTTCCCATATTGGGTAAAAGTGCAACCCTATAGCCGCAGAAGTAGGAATAATGGCACCAGAAATAATATTGTTTCCATAAAGTAGAGATCCAGAAACAGGTTCACGAATACCATCAATGTCTACTGGAGGGGCAGCAATGAAAGCGATAATAAATACAGAAGTTGCGGTCAATAAAGTAGGAATCATCAAAACACCAAACCATCCAATGTAAAGACGGTTTTCAGTGCTGGTTATCCAATTACAGAAGCGACCCCAAAGGCTTTCGCTTTCGCGTCTCTCTAAAATTGCAGTCATGGTAAAATCTTGGTTTATTTAATCATCAGGGACTCCCAAGCACACGAATTCTCTATAAATAGAAATAGATAATTGAGGGCTTGTTATTCAACAGTATAACATGACTTATATATCCGTGTCAACCAATATCAACATCTATGAATATATCTTTATGATCTTATCTATCTAGATTCATCAGAATTTTTTTGAATGAATGAAATTGAAGTGAGTTAAAAAATAGAATTCATATTTATATTTCTATGTATATAATATAGAATTTCATATGATTTCAATATACTAGTTATAATGGCTATAATGGGTTGCCCGGGACTCGAACCCGGAACTAGTCGGATGGAGTAGAGAATTTCTTTGTTAAAAAATAGGTAAAAAACCCTCCCCAAACCGTGCTTGCATTTTTCATTGCACACGGCTTTCCCTATGTATACATCTAAAACCCAGTTCCCTCCCTAGACGGAACCCCTATGAAAGATAAATACTCAGTTACTCAATCTTTACTCGTATATTGCATGAGCATTTCATAATACAAATGGATGATTTCTTTTGTTATCCCTATTTAGTTTAGGGCTATTTTCGATTTACATGTTTTCATAACCAATTATTCATGATTGACCAGCTCATTGATACAAATAATATCCAAATACCAAACCCGCCCTCTATATAACTTTCGTGAAATAGAAGAAGCTCTTGGAAAGATCAAAAAAGAATTTGCTCTTCCTCCGTAAAAAATTCTTCCAATAATTCTGAACCTAATCTTTTCAAAAAAATGCGTACAGTACGGCCCAGGTTGGTTTACTAATGGGATGTCCTACTGCGTTACAAAATTTCATTTTTGCTAATGATCCAATCAAAGGAATAATTGAAACTGTTGTATCGAGTTTATTCATAGTATTATCTATTAGAAATGAATTTTCTAGCATTTGACTCCGTACCACTGAAAGGTTTAGTCGTACACTTGAACTTGAAAGATAGCCTAATAAGGCGAAAGAATGCTTGTATAATGATAATGGGTTTTTATGGATCTTTTTTGGTTGAAAGCACACATCAAAATGACATTGACATAAATTGACAAGGTAATCTTTCCATTTTTTCATCAGAAGAGGCGTATCCTTTGAGACCAAAATAAATTTTCCTTGATATCTAACATAATGTATGAAAGGATCCTTGAGCAAGCATAAGCTGTCCCGAAAATCCTTAGTAAAAACTTCTACAAAATGTTCTATTTTTCCATAGAAATATATTCGCTCAAGAAAGACCTGAGAAAATGTTAATCGGAAATGAAAGGATTGATTACGAAGAAAAAAGAAAACGGACTCGTATTCATATACATGAGAATTATATAGGAACAAGAATAATCTTGGATTCTTTTTTGCAAAAATGGAAATAGATTTCTTTGGAATAATAAGACTGTTCCAATTCCAATACTCGTGAAGAAAGAGTCGTAATAAATGCAAAGAGGAGGGATCTTTCACCCAATAGCGAAGGATTTGAACCAATTTTTCTAGATGGATGGGGTAAGGTATTAGTCCATCTGACACATAATTTAAATGTGGGAATTTGCCCTCTAAAAAAGGAAATATTGAATGAATTGATCGTAAATTAAGATCTATTTTGTTAGAAAATGTAGGTTATGACAATAAATATAGTTTACTAATTGTAAAACGTTTAATTACTCGAATGTATCAACAGAATCATTTGATTATTCCTGCTAATGATTCTAACCAAAATCCATTTTTTAGGTATAACAAAAATTTGTATTTTCAAATGATATCGGAGGGGTTTGCAGTTATTGTGGAAATTCCATTTTCCTTACGATTAGTATCCTCTTTAGAAAGATCAGAAATAGTAAAATCTCATAATTTACGATCAATTCATTCAATATTTCCTTTTTTAGAGGGCAAATTCCCACATTTAAATTATGTGTCAGATGGACTAATACCTTACCCCATCCATCTAGAAAAATTGGTTCAAATCCTTCGCTATTGGGTGAAAGATCCCTCCTCTTTGCATTTATTACGACTCTTTCTTCACGAGTATTGGAATTGGAACAGTCTTATTATTCCAAAGAAATCTATTTCCATTTTTGCAAAAAAGAATCCAAGATTATTCTTGTTCCTATATAATTCTCATGTATATGAATACGAGTCCGTTTTCTTTTTTCTTCGTAATCAATC